AATTTAGACTTTGAGATTAAACAATTTTTGGAATACTAAGTTTATTTATTATAGAATATTTATAATCTAGACAAATAGGCTTTTAATTTTATAATATTTCCTGATAAGTGTACAATCCTTCCTTTGAAATTTAAACTTTTTTTTCTAACATGCATATATCTTTGACAGAAATGATCAATTGCTTGAAGTTTAAAATCATACTAATACTTTAACATTCATTATTCTAAGTTGACAAAAATTGGCATGCATTACAGGGCATAATTTATCCAGGTTTGCATTGCAAAATGTAGCAACTTGAACCCCTGTAAAAGATGATCCAATAATGCAAGTCATATGTCCAAAATCCAAATAATGTTTTAAAGATAAAATATGACTGGTTGAAAAGACTTAACATACCTAAAATATTTTTTTGCCAGAAACATATCACTAACTAAATAAGAGGTAGCACAAACACCTCAATTTCAAACTGTAGCTCATGATATATTTTGGATAAACAGTTAATGTGATGAGCCATAATGAAAACTGTTTAGTGAAATCTGGAAAATAGCCAAAAGCTAAACCTGTAGAATAAACACTTGTTTAAATAATGAGTAGCTTGTTCAGTGTTTCTATGTGTGATTTTTGTTGTTGGTGTTTAAATTACTGCAAACTTTCAAAGACGAATCAGAAGTTTGTATATTAGATACACTGAATGCACATGTACTCATTATAGGTTAGGGAAGTATGATTTCTTTGAGAGGCTAGCCTGTTTGTATTACTTTAGTCTCACTATAGCTTTTTACATAATTACCAAAACTCAACTGCAATAATGGTAATGGTCAATGCACAAATAAGTATTTTGATAACTTTAGCATTATATTGGGGTGTCATATTATTCAAAAAATTTAATTTAACATGAACAGAATTGCTAAATAAATTATTTGAGTATTGCAAAATCTATTTCTTGTACTATTCTGACTGAAAAACAGTGGCATCCAGACAAAATAAAATGACTATAATATGAACAGCTTAAAATAATATCAATAAATCTAAGTGAAAAAATTAAATTTGTATATTTCTTGCTGATGCAGCTGTTAGATTATCTCTGCACACTGCACATCATAGTAGAATAGATAATGTGTTTATTTTGAATAACTTATTCAAATTTCTGTAAATAATAATAGTGACTAACACTTGACTTTAGCAAGAGAGGTTTCTTTTTATTGGGTTAAAAAGTTTTAATAGTAGCAACTAGGTTATTGGGCTGAATTTTCTTCAGTGAGCATACTTTCCATTTTAAGTTATTTTTGTGAATGTGTATACATTAAGCTTCAGTTAATGAACTTTGATAACAGGATCAATGTGTCAGGTGTGTGTAGTTCATAGTTGTCAATAATATCTTCATCTTCTTTATTGTGGAAAGTTACAATTTGTATCTCATATCACAGTTTAAGTTTTATAAGTTTGAAGTATATTATTTAAAAAAGTATGTGATTGCCATAATACTTGAAGGTCAAGATGGTCAAGCATAGGTAAAAATGTCCACTCATTGACTGAAAGTGATTAGATTTGGACTGATAACTGACAAATACTTATCTTGTGTTCTGTAACAGTGGTTAAAAAAAAGACATTTAATTAGTTGTTTAACAGCAAGAACATGTAAATTTTTGTTTGTATGAGTACAAACCAATGTTATCAAGAAGTGCTGTTAGTGCAGGTATGCTTATTAGTATAAATAAAGATGCGCACCATGTAACTAACTGCTTAGGTGACAGAAATGCTTGCACCATAGTAGTTAGTCTGCAAATAAAAACTTACATTTCCATTGCTCCAAACCCCTGGCTTTAATAAGTTAGAGAAATTAGTTTCCAATAAAAGCAGCTAATGTACCACAAGGCTTCAGAAAACATTACTATTGAATTGTTACAAAAGCAAGTTAGTTGCAGATGTGTTTTTTTTGTCCACATTCTTCTTAAATTGTACAATGCTATTTATTACACACTTCTAATTTTGAGCCATAATGACCAAATTAGAAGAATGTGGAAAAAAAAACCCATCTGCAATTAATTTATTTTTAGAACAGTTTTTAATCTTATTGGATTTTCAGTATTTCTCTGGATTTTGGCATTGAATATGTAGTTCAAACAACTGTAAGAAGTTAAATTCATGCAATAGTTTTGTTTAAACTGATAGTTCTAATATTCCAAAACTTTCTAGGCATGTTTATTTGCTTTTATGCAATGGGGTTAAATGACATAGACGTGGGTATTTTGATTTTGAATTAATAATGTTTTCTGAAGCCAATCAAACTATCGTTTTTGGTCTAAACAACAAAAAAAATTACTGTAAAATTGGCTGTTTACTCTTTATATAGAAGTTTTATGATAGAGCAGTAAACAGCAAACTTTACATTATGAAAATGAAAACTAAGTATTATTTTTATTTGAAAGAAATACAATAGCAGTACTAGTATTCTGCTGTGCAAAGTAGATACAGTTGACTGCATAAAACTAAAATGTAAATCACGGTAGGCCCTTTATCTCTTCCAGAAAGAAGGGAACAGAGGCCAGAGAAAGGTTCAAATGGCTGAGATTTCAAATCAACCTTGTTTCCATTTTCCTTCGTTTTTAATAAGTTTCATGTTTAGGCCTTTTTCATAACCTAATAAAGGTAAAACATTACCAACTCATCTAAACTAAATATGTATGAAAGTTTCAGAAAGTTTTACTTTTATGAAACAGATACCAAAAGAATTTTAATTCCTACCTTGGTAATATATGCATATATTACAAAAAGAACAAAAAAACTTCAAGACTTTTTGCTTGAATTTTGAGTTCAAAGTTCAAGTTAAAAGAAAGACTGCACTTGTGTATTAAGCCAGTGGGTTTGGAGCTGTGACACCGTTACTTATCGCCTGAGTGGCTGAACCTGCCGACACTACAGTGTTTTGGCAATCAATGGAAAGGGAATATTCTGCTGCCTGGCGTGTTCTACTTGAGAATGTTCTGGTGCCCAAGAATGTGCCACAGAAAGCTATCAAGGTGTGTATAGTGTTTTATAGGAACTAGTTATTATTTTTCTATATCAGTAAAAAATATAGCAAATTTCTGTGCTCATTATATGAAACTGACAAAGTATTAAATATGCCAAGTATAAACTAATAGTTAAGGGTGATTTGTTTGATATGCTTTTGTGCTTGTGAAAACTTTGAAGTTAACATACTGTGTTAACCAAACCATTAGAATCATTGAGTACATATTTAAGTTGGTAATTGATTTTTTGTTTACAAAATCACAGGTATCTATAAGTAGTAGATTTTTCATCAAAATCTATTTAGCCATAAAAAAAATAAAGAAAAAATAAATAGCAATATTTTGAATTAATATAAAAGTGATAATGACATCCCCTTGCTCAACATGAATCATTGCCAAAAAGGTATTTTTGGGTTATTAAAGGGTTAGGTTGCATAGTATATTTCCATTGTTCAATCTTTTAAAAAGCATTTTGTTATAAAATATGGTTTTTGTTTTCCGTAAGAAGTATAACAGAAAACATGAAACATAAGCTTTAAATTTGTAGTGTGTGTTTGTTTTCATAGAGATGTGAATATTCAATATACTTTGTTGCACAGTTGGCAAAAATCTACCAATTTTTAATATTAAATGGTCTAAAGCCTGAATTATTATAATAAAAAAACTATCAAATTACCAAATAAATTATTGAAAAGAGCCTTAAAGCTAATATTTTTTATGCTAATTTCTAATAATTGACAAATTTTACTAGCATATCCTATGATATTTCTTTTATTGATAACAAAACAAAGCCTAAAGTTATTATAAAGATAGAGATTTTGATGCAAATATCCACTAGAGTTAAAAGAAAAGACTAAACTTAACTAGTGATATTCCTACCAAGTAATTAAGCTATTAGTACACAGGTAACTGTCTACAAACTAAGTGACTGAAGGTTCCTGAACAAAGTGTTTATGTTAGGTCTAGCTCAAGCAATTATTCTAGCTTAACTTGGTGTGTATAAAGCAAATATATCGGGCAGACGGTAGCAGTGCCTGTGTAGGGATGGCTCATATTGTTCATTGAAATGGTATTTTAAATATCTCCTCAATAGGTCATCAGAGTTTTATACTACACAGTGTCTCCTTTTATAACAGTATCAATGTTATGACTGAGTCACAAGTTCTGGGACTGTCTGTAAATATCACAGCAAAAAATTTGAATTTTTTTGTTCTTCTTTCTTCTGCTTCTTTTTGATTACATGAGAATTCAATAACTAAAACAATGGAGTCAACCAATTTCACTGAGATGACATAGTTTCAAACAGAGTATCTGCTTTTATAAATATGATCAACTAGTAGCAATTAAAAAAAAAAAGATAATTCTAGTGTAAATGATGTTATCACCCCTTAAAGTTAGATTTCTTACTGAAATTTGGTGTTCCTTTAAAATGCCTAAGCAAAGAGTGAAACAAGCATAACCAGCCAGTAATAGATAAACAATAAATAATGCAGTTGGAACCTCATTGTATTTAGTACTTGGTTATAAATACAATCTTCCTATGTCTATTGAAACACTGCATTAAAAAAACAACAACAAGCAAACAAATAAAGAAAAACTTTTCAAAAAAGGAAGTAAATCTAGGGATGGTTAATATCAATCCTTCAAAAAGAATACAAACAAGATAGTAGGGATGGTATTTGCATCATCCCAACATAAATAGCACAGGCACTATTAAGTAGGTGTGATGCCAATACAATCCCTACATTTACTTTCTTTTTTGAAAAGTTTTTTCTTTACCCATTTTATTCCAAATGAATAATCAAGATGTTTAAATTGAAATATTGAGAAAATAAAAAACAGCAGCAAAATATATGGAGTTAGAAAGGAAAAGAAGTTAAAAAATTTTGTAAATTGGAGTTAATTCTAGAAATTTAAAGAACAATTGAAGTAGAAAATAAATGACAGCTGCAAAAATAGGAACACCAGGATTCAGACATCGAACTTTGAGAAATAGCTCAGTTACAACCTTACTACAATGATATTTCTGTCAATTTCTCTTTAGTAAAGACATGGTACACTTCAGCACAGATGTGGTGCCAAAAGCATAACCCATTTATTATGCTTTTAGATCATTCTCCTTCTTTGCAAAAGCAAAACTCTCTTGGATTTTGTAAACATCTAAAAATGTATACATCTCGAAGTCATAGTGGTGTAGTTTTATGATGATAAAACCATCACACTAGCAACCCACCTTAAGTTAACAGGAGAGAGAGATATATTAAAATGGAAAGTATGGCATTAAAAATGTGAGTATGTTAACAATGTTTCCTAAGAAAAGGTTTTGAATAATAAAACTGCAAGATTAGAATTAGCTATCCAGAACTGCAGATTTTTCATTTATTTCTCTAAGCCAACATTAAGGAAATGCATTCCAATTTGCTCAAAATAGTTTGGAAAATCTAGAATCAGAAATCAGTATGAAGAAACTTACACAAATGATGGTAAAGTTAGCTTTGTGAGCTTCCTAGTTAATGTTTAAGATGTATAAATTTAAGAAGTATTGTATAATTATATAAATACATATGTATCCCTCCCAAATATTTTAAGTTGCATAATCCACAGAATTAACTGGGTGGTTTAATAGATTGAGTGATATAATCAGTTACCTATTACTTACAAGCAGTGATTACCTCGATTTGTGTTATATAAACTAATTGTGTAATCAAACTTATAATTAAGTTGATGAATTGAAAGTATTGTTTCTAATTATTACTGTTTTCAATTATTCCAACAATTGATTAACTTTATGCGTCTGGCCAGGGGCAACTTGACTATCCTTATAACCACCATGTAACTAGGAAGCTATACCCACTGTAGTTCTTTTAATAAACATTATAAATATGTTGCACAAAAAAAATAACCATTTAATAAAATATTTTTAGCAAAAGATTTGTCTGAATTTATAAAGCCTTTACTGATTCAGTCTGAGTGAAAGGTGATTTTCATGCTAAGAATAATAGATACTTTTTTCATCTTACAGTTTTCATATGTCGTTTGCATAACCTCTGTAAACCTTGTAAATGGAAAAAAGAATTTGATGTGTAACTTTATTATCTGTTAGCTTCTCTATTCCAAAACTAACTGTAGCAAAATCATCAATGCACAGTGAAAGTAAAAGCTAAAAAATATGAAATATACTGAATAGTACTTTTTTCTCTTTGAATGCATCAGTTTACAAGATTTTCAATTTTCTTTTACTCATGGTTTCCAACTGTTGACATTTTCACATCTGTTTTATTTTAATTTCACGAATTTATTTCCTGGCTTCTATCATGTAAGCTGTATATTCTTCTGTGAAAGACAACACATTAGCAGATTTTTATCCACCAACATACTGTGCAGCATGAAATTGTGCATTTGAACATGTGACTAAATAGGTCTGATATATTTTCCTTAAATTCATTTTCAAAACAAAACAATCTTGTACATTTCAAATATCCGTTTTGGAAAAAGAAAATATATCAGTCATAGGAAAAAAGTTTTAAAACTACTATCATTTAACTGTCTTTCTAACTAAGCAATAAATATGGTAAAAAATTCTATAAATGCTATGAGCAACAACTACTTACACAAACATCATTCATTTCTTCTTGACTAAAATCTGTTGCTGCTAAATTTAAAAAGTTTACAACTTGAAATAGAAAAAAAAAAGTTTTTTTATATATTGATTTTAACCATGTGCATCAACTAAGAATATGTGGTTTTAAAAATTGCATTGAAAATAAAGAATAGATGGGAGGGACTTCTGTCATGTGGGTTAGAAAGTATATTGATATGTCATTAAATAGAGTAGTTAAGATATTATAATTCTACTTTTGACCCTGTCATTATTTATAGCTCGTGTTTGTACTAGTTAGACACTGTAGAAGCTATACTATTGAAGTTATACAAACTAAAAGGGGGAGAATTTAGAGCACAAATGTCACATGACAACATAAGTAAACTTTGAGAACTTTTATGAATATTTTCTATCGAAATTTAGAAGTTAAATTTTAGATGATATAAGAAGTTGAATAATAAATTATGTTCTGATACCAAGTTTATTGACATACATTGAAAATAAAATGTTTAATTAAATTTTCAATGTAACAATAACATATCTTTACATCTACAATGAACAGAAGCTTGTGTTGAATAAGATAATAGAAATTCCCATTATATTGATTGTGATGAAAATAATCAACTAGTCAGAATTAGAGTTGTTGATTTTTATTATTATTTTTGGTTATTCCAACTAAAGTAATCCAAATATTGCCACTGAACTTGCTTGTCCTATCTTTGTTATGGCAAAGCAACTGAGTTTATCTGCTGCTGTTACTAATTTTAATCTGCTGACTAGTGAGAAGGCAACTGGCTGGCAGTACCTGCTACAATTTTTTTATGCTTACTTGTAAGTACCACACTTTGAGGAAAACTGCACTAATTCGTTAATCAGATGTGATAATTTAATTGGGTTGTTGATTAATCAGTTAGCAAATGCCACCAATCACCCATCTCTACACAGAATCATTTCACTCAATTCATCTGTAATCTAAGGGATGTATCCAGTTTCTCACTTTCTCACTCAAACAAAAGTATCAGTATATTTTGATAAAGGTTTTTAAATAGAAAAAAAGTGTGATGTTCAACAACATTTTAAACTCAAATATATTTTGGCTGCTGAAATAACTTGTTTAACAGGTACTAACACACAGTAGAATACTGTTCCTCCTAAAAGTAAAATTTAGTTAAAAACCTATAAGATTAGTCACTTGCAATAAGATTATTTAAATGTTTGTATTCTAGTCTAGTGGGATCATTATTCATATAGCTTATCCCTGGTTACTGTTTAATCTGCAGGAGTTTCATCAGTGAGATGTCATTTTATGTGAAACAGCTGGGAAGAAGTAAGTATTTTCATGTGTTTGTATGTTATGTGCATTTGTATACCATTTTTTTTTATAAATTTATAACTTAATGATTCTAATAAAAGTTGAAATACTGACTGTAAAGCATTAGATAATGTAAAGTAGTGATGATATTGTTTATGAAAAAGTTACTCTCTTTGGAAAATATAAACATGCTATTAACATCAGAGAACAACATTAAACTTTTACTGCCCAGTGTTCTTATATGGGAGCACTTTAGAATTTAACAATAAAATGAAATTTGATTTATTTTATAAAACTTTTATCAAATGTCAAATTGTTAAGAAACCTGAAAATCAGTTTTAGTTGGATTTAGTTATGTAGAAAGCTGTAATTTTTGTATGGTTCACCATACAAGATTTAATATTGAAACTTTTTAGTAAAAATATTCTTAATGGATTATGTCATGCCATCAATATAAAAAATCTATATTTAGAAAAGTTCATTATTGTGTTATGGTATTTTAAATATGATGTTCTCTTATGGGAGAACGTATATGTAACTTCAAAAGGAAAAAAAATTTCTTTTGAGACTGGAAAAGTATCTTGAATTAATAAGATATCTTCTTTGAAAGTAATGTAAAAAGATTATTTATTAATAAAATATTATTGGGGATAGCAATGCTATGATTTCCTTTCTTTATCAGTTACATTTTTTCATGTGGAAAAATAATTAATTCAACATCATAGTCTTTAGATTAGATCAACAAATTTTCTAAGTTAACCCACTGTATATCAAAATATTTTTTCTTTAGTGTGCAAGTAACAAGTTTTATGGTATTAAGTCTTTCTATAAACCCAGTAGCATCATGCAAGTTAAGTGTTATCTATTTATAATAATATTGGCCTTTATACATAAACATTATTATTATTTTACAGACGTACATGCTAGAGAACATGGTTCAAACAAGCAAGTTGCATCAAAATCATGTGCTTTGTCACTTGTTAGACAACTGTATCATCTCCGTGTCATTGAAGCATACACTGGGCAGAGCTCAAAAAAGAAAGAGATGGAAAAAGTAATGCATTTTCTAATGCTGTCCTAAACAATGATAATTTTCCATAAATATTCTAAATATTTATAAAAAATATGAAGCTTGTTTTAATAAATACAACTAATCTTCAGGTAAAGAGTGAAAAGCTAGAAGAATTTGATGATCTTTGTTGTGTTCAGAGATACCAAAACGTTAATGAATGTTTGATTTTAATTATCTTGTTAAACATTTGGAATTGTATTAAATATTATATTGAAGACATTGTTAATACATCTTTCTCTTTACTTTGAGTTTAGGCTGTGTTAGATTATTGGAAAAATAGTTTTTGTTTTGTTAGAAATTTTATAGGTTTCATATTCTTTTTCTTTCAGATCACATATAAGCAAATATAGTTTAGAAATTATGTTCTTCAGGAAGTCATTACCAAGCAATTATAATCACTTTTGTTTTTCAGTTGGAACCTTATGAAGTAAATATAAGCCCAGAATTAGAAAGCGAGTTGTGTGAAGTTTTACAACTGCTACAAATTGAACCTGTTCAAATTCCTGAGGTTGGTGTGTGAAGATAAAGGGGAAAAAAATTTTTTAAGATTGATACCTACAAAATATTCACAGTATTGATCCTGTACCACACATTAACTGTTATTACATGCCATTATGACACGACATTTAAGAAACAGCAATGACAGTACGTTCAGCTTCAAGAAATAAAACATGCAATAGTTTTAATACTTTTGATTATGTTTCGTGATAATGAAGCCTATGTCTGTTAAAGTTCATTTGTTGATTTTTCAATACATTTTAAAATCATTGTCGAATTTAATATTTCTAATTGTATGAAATGTATATAAAACATTTTAAATTTGTTCAACAGATGTAAAACCGTTTAGTGGGCTATTGGAGTTTATTATCAAAGACATTTTGTCATATATAAATTTATATAACTGAAATATTCATTAAACATGTTCTTTTATTTTCCATTCATAAACATACAGACCTTTTGGTTAGATTTTTTTCATATTTATGGCATTCTTTTAATTGTGAAGTTGTTTTGATTATGTAGATGAAGATGTCTAACTATTAAAATATTTTTTTTAGAATATTAATGCTTCTGAACCATTCAGTCTAATGGAAGATCAGGTGAAAACATCAGAATTAGAACCTACTAGTAAGCCTCAGTTGGGCGGAGTTGTGCCTTGGTCACCACCACAACAAAACTGGAATCCATGGACCAGCTGTAACATTGATGAGGGTCCATTAGCACAAGTAAATGTGGTTGAACGTGATATAAAGTATTATGATTGTGATAATTGTAATCCTAATACACACAAATACTTCTTAACATTAATCACATCTAGGAACTTTTTATAAACACTCTCACACAATAATGATAACCCTCTCGCTATGGGCATAATTTTCTGTGTGTGTCGCATGGTTTTACTAAGTCACATTCAAAATTTAAATTTTCTTATGGTGTATAAATAAACTTGGAATAAAAATGTAGCTAGTAATCCAAATTTTAGTATTATACAAGTTTTAGGTTCTTAATTTTATAAGACATTATTTTAAAAAAGTCCTGAATTTCCCCTAGTATGAGAATTGTGACATTTGCTCTCCAGATATCTCCTCTCCTCTAATTTATATACTGCCCATACAAGAATTATGAAATTTAATATTAATTGCTTGAGCAATGACAACATTGTAACAAGTAAAATATAATTTTTATAGCCTTCAATCTTTTGTACTCATTTAAAGTTGATATAAATTTAATACTTATAACTATATATATATATTCACGAAATTTGGCAGTCTTTCAGTTAATATTACAAGTCTTTCACATACAAAAAGTCATACTTCTTAGTATTTCTAATAAAATAAAATAAAGTTTTGTCCATGAATATATTGAGTCTTTGTTTTGAATAGTCCGTGTGCAAGGTAATTTTCATGTTAAAATTAAAAATACTTTTCGTCATCTCAAAAATCTCAATTTCCTTTGTGTAATCCCAAAAACCTCCTAAATGCATTTCAAATGTTTTTTCACTAAATCCTTAAAGTTTGTTATTTTCTCTACCCCATCTCAAAACGGGATCAGTCAATTTGAACGACCTTGTAACCACCAAAAAAAAAATCGAAATAAACCTAAATTAACCTTCTTTTCTTTCTAGAATGACTTCAAATTTTAACATGAAGCTACATTCGTTTATCCTAAGTAGCTCTTAGTTCGTAACATTATACATCTATTTATAATTAAATTTTATTGTTTTATTGCCCTTTGAACCATTTCTAACTGCTATCCCCAACATTATAAGTTGAAAATCACTTTGGGAAAGTGCAGCTCATGTTACGCTATCAAATTACATTACCCACGAGCTGCTTGTGTGGGTGCCTCATGAACCATTTTAATTATATTATTATTATTATTACTTATTTTACCTAATCTAGTCTTAAATAACTTAAAAAGATCCATACTTTTAATTTTAGTTACTTTTATAATAATATGTATAGAATAAATATGAAAAACAAGAAATAAAGTACTTACTGAATCTTCTTTTTTTTGCCCTTGATTGTGAAGGAGAGTTAAACCTGATTTTGTTTAGTGATTATAGTAAAGCATTTAACAATTTTTATTTACTTAAGTAACACAACAAATAATATAGACTAATAACATACAAAAATTAGACAAATTCACTTCTAAAAATATTCCTG